ATTCCAGTTATCATGATACTAAATGGCTATGAATATCACAAATACCTGATCCCTGTTCACTATTTCTGATGAGGAATGTACCCCTCGAATAGTCACCCATTAAAAGCAACTTTTCGGCCTCTCGTCTCGAAATTTTGCTAAAAAACCAACTTTTCATTCAAAATAATCAAGTATTGCAATTAATTATAATTGAAAAACATATAACATTCAGTAAAAATGACATACTCCTCAGTTTCATCAATATTTTTGACCACAAAGTTCATGGGGATATAGCCGGCCCTCTCAGAGGAAATCATCTTTGCGAGCCACCAGTCCGGCTCCTTGTCGTCAATGACGATGAGTTTGTCCCCCTTTTCAAAGCTCAACTCTCCCTCATCCCGGCCCTCATACGAGTACAGAGCGATCACTATCTTCTTATTTGAAGCATTCGTCGGCGAACGATAAATTGAGCCCTTTTTTTGGGATTCAATCGATGAATAGTGACTGCCATTCAGACTTTCGATAGTCTTTGGGAGGGCTGGTAGCTCTCGATGGGGACGATGAGAATTACTGTAAATACAATTACCCATTGTTTCATAACATTATTGTATGATATTATGCANCCCTTTTTTTGGGATTCAATCGATGAATAGTGACTGCCATTCAGACTTTCGATAGTCTTTGGGAGGGCTGGTAGCTCTCGATGGGGACGATGAGAATTACTGTAAATACAATTACCCATTGTTTCATAACATTATTGTATGATATTATGCAAAACAAAAACTTGTGTTTTTGACTATTTTTATGGTTATATCAAATTTGATGCAAAATGTAAAGAGAAAACACAATTATTTTCATTCATATTGTGTTTATTCAACAAATAATTGTTATAACATTATAGTCTAATCGGATGCCAATATGCTATTCAAGAGATAGAGAGTGAGTTTTGAAAATATATGGGAAGTTGCCTTTCCTTTCAATATATGATATTTATTGCGAAAAACACATTTCCGACAATAATTTGTTTGGAAAATATTTATTTGATAATTTAATTGTTTTTAAAATATCAAATCCAATGTACAGTATTGAGCTGACATTCCACTCACTACTCCCACACTCCGACTAATTCACACCACTTACACATGTTATGCACAGTTATGCCACACTATCGTACAGAATCCACTCATACTGTCTCCTATGCTATGCTTTTCTCCAGAATTTNAGAACTGTATTCAGTAGTTCTCCACTCGATTTTGACTGCAATTTAGAGGTGTATCTGAAGTCAGATGAAGACAACGCTTTCAGTCGAATGCTTCCCAATGAAGATGTCATAGAAGTCGGACAGGAAGTGCAACTCAGAGCTACTGTTAGATCGGGAGATGGTATGCAATTGACTATAAGATAATGATTATTAACAGAACTGATAACACATTTTCAGGCTGGAAGTATGCGATGATAAAGGACGTGACCGTCCATAAAGTGATTCCTCTATCAAATAGTTTGCAAACATTTTCAACGCTCTCCTCATTGAGACAATCGGCTCTCGACAAAGACTCGACCGAATCGAGTGCTAATAAATTTGGTTCATTTTTCTCCAATTCCCTGAACATACGGAAGGCGTCCACCGCTCAGAGGTTCGGCAAAAGCGGTGAATCCGAGCGCCAGAAGAGAGAGTCGACGGATGAGACGCGAGAGAAGCGACAGATACCGGACGCCGCGTTTCTGGTGCTCAGCGACGGCTGCCGTAATCCCGTGTTTCGCTCGATTGCCGTCAATCACCCGACGCAGGAGTCCAACGATAATCTGTTGGTGTCTTTCAATTTCAAGGCCTTTATGTTTCAGGACATGGATGAGAGCGGAACCATTCGTATCACCGCTAAAGTGATTGCGTGTGTCGAGGAGGAGGACTGTCGACCTGTAAGTCACTACTAGTACTTTGAAGCAATTTTTAAAATCATTTATTTGTTTGTGTGTTGTTTTAGATCCGATGCATAGATGACGAGCACTTCGGTTACGGGAGACGACGAAAGCGGTCACTAAATCACACGGAGTTCACGAATGCCTCTCAAATCAGTGACTATTCGCGGGAACTTCAGCTCAAAGTAGTGATGCCTTCGTTCACATCGGGTATACCCTTATTGCCCTCAACTGTGTTAACATAACGTTTAAATTTTATTTTTATTTTTAAAGCATATGTCAACTCAGATGTGCAGCCAGTGATCAGCAAATGGTTTGGTTTAACCGACAAAAACGATTGCCGTTATGTAATATACTTAATGGGAACACTTGCACTGGTATTTTGTCTCACAATAACTACTGCCTCATCGGTTATTATTACCAGGGCAAAGTTGAAATAATAGTAAATTTACATGATTTATTTATTACAAATAAATGGCTCATTATTTAATTAAAATTTTCATAAGAATCAAAAGTAAATACAAACATTTAAAAAACATAATGATTATGAATGAAATGAAACAAAGTTTATTTTAATTTGCTTAACTATAAAAATATATTTAAATTTAATTAATAAATGTATTATGATTTTTTAAAAACTCTAACTTGTGTAACATTTAATAGTTCAATTTTATTTTAAAAAATTGCTTGATTGGTTTAGACAAATTTAATCCCTGACCTCATCGGCGTCCTTATATCGGGGCTCATTAGCAACAAAAAAGTCATCGAAATAATTGTATAAATATTCAAAGGTTGGCCTTTTATCCGGATCTTTATGCCAACAATCAAGCATTATTTGGTATATACTGTTAGGGCAGTCTGAATGTGCCGGGTGAGGCATCCTATACCCTCTTTCCACCTGCTCCAGGACATCACGATTGTTCATACCTTAACCAATAAAAAATAATATAAATACAAAAGCTCTTAAACTGAAATGCATAGATTAGTTGAAATGTTGAGTAAAAAAATAAGCACCGGGATATGGAATGCCTCCTTTGGTCATGAGTTCATAGAGTAAAATACCGAAAGACCAAACATCGGATTTACTGGTAAACCTTCCCTTATTAGCCGCTTCAGGAGACGTCCATTTGATCGGGAATTTGGCACCAATTCTGGCCACGTATTCGTCTTCATCTATAATGCGAGCCAAACCAAAGTCGGCTACTTTTACCACTTTGTTTTCGCCTACCTGTGCCCGCACAATACCATAATAAATACGGGTACAGTTCAAACAAATATGTCAAATTGAAAACTTGTTTTTCCTACCAAAACATTTCTGGCGGCTAAGTCCCGGTGAACCACTTTGATTCGCTCGAGATATGCCATTCCCGACGCTATCTGTGCGGACATATCGATGAGATCAATGACAGTACAGGCCTCGCCCTCGGGATTATTCCTGAGGTAATCCAATAGGGATCCGTTGCACATGTATTCGGTGACTATAAGCAACGGCTGATCCACAGAACAGACACCGAAAAGCGGCACCAGTTTGTCGTGTCTATACTTCCGCATAATAGTGGCCTCCAGTAGGAATGCCTTCGGAGACATTGTCCCGGGTTTTAGTGTTTTAATGGCCACCTCCTGTTGCCCCTTAAAGATCCCGTAATAAACTTTGCCGAAGTTCCCGGTGCCCAACTCCCGAAGCATTTCTAAATCATTGCGATTAATCTCTTGAGAGCACTTCGGAGGTACAGTTGAGCTCATCTTTGGACACGGCATCACCAGACGATAACAGAGACCGTTAGATGATTGCGAGTAATGAGTGACCAGCTCTTGTAGTCTGGCGAATGAGCGCCGGGATGTGATGAAGTACTCTCCGTCGGCTTTTTCACGTATCTTATAGTGTTTCACGTGATCTAACTTCAGTGAATCAAAGTCTCGGATTGACAGCGAAAATGCACCTGAATTTTGAGGCATTCCAGTTATCATGATACTAAATGGCTATGAATATCACAAATACCTGATCCCTGTTCACTATTTCTGATGAGGAATGTACCCCTCGAATAGTCACCCATTAAAAGCAACTTTTCGGCCTCTCGTCT